CCTCCCATGCACTGTCTCATTTACCCCCACCCACCCCCGTGGTTCTCTCCATTTCACAGATCTGGACACCTAGGCCCAGAGAGGTGAAGGAACCCCCCCAGGCTTACACAGGGAGTGGTCGATCTTAACCCCGGCAGGCTGACACCAAGCCGGAGCCCTTCCTCACTTTCTAGCTTCCCTTCCCTGCGGCTAATCCCGCTGGGCAGTTGATGCTGGTCTCCCTCCCTAGAACGTAAGGTACCCGAAGGCAGGACTGTCCCGCTCTGGTTCATCGCTGTGTTCCCTGGTACCTGCCAAGGGAGGCATTCTCGAGACACATGTAGGGAAAAGTGACTGGACATGTGCTCCTCAAACCAGCTTTCCTGAGAGTCTCGCCCTAGCCCCTGATGGCCTCCCAGCTGTCCTGAGTCTTGGCTGGTGGCCTTGGGCACGTTGTAACTGCTTCTCTCAAGCTGCAGATGAGCTGAGTTGTTGAGCCCCTGCAGCCCAGGGCTGTCCAGCCAGCACAGAATGGAAAGGTTCATAAGAGCCTCTGTGGCTGCTGGCATGGCCATGAGTCACCTCTAATTGAGCACAGCTCAACAGGGAGTGGGGTGGTGATGCTGCTGGGATTAGAAATGAGAAATAAACACCTGGCCCTGGCTCTCACCCCAGCTCTCAGACTCGAGTCCTGGTGCTCTACCACTTACATGCTGTGTGACCTTGGGCTAGTCACTTCCCCTCTCTGAGCCTCAGTTCCCCATCTGCCACATAGGAGTGATGAGCCCTCCCTCCAGTGGGATAGAGTGTAAGGGATCACTCCCTGCCAGATGCATCTGGCTCCCACACCAGCGCCTTGCTAAAATTCTCGCAAGCCAATCCTGTTGCAAAGTCCTGTAGGGCCTTTTCATAAAATTCTTATGGGTGCATGACTTCTGGGTCAAGTTGGATGCTGCAGCATACACCCTCCTTGACATCGCCTGGTGTTCCTTCTTCCTTCCCAGCTGCTCCTACTCAGTCTGTTCCCTTAAACGTTGGTGTGATCAAGGGTCTGAAGCTGGAGGAGCAGTGAGGAAGGAGGTGGGAGAGACACGCAGGGGCTAGATTGAGTAAGGCTTTGAAAACCAGGTCCAAGCCCCAAGACTACAAGGATGGAGGAGAAGGTGCAGGAGTTTTAAACTGGGAAGCAACACACCCGGATAGATTTGCACTTTAAGGAGGCCATTTTGGCTTCAAAGTGGTGCACAGGTAGATCAGAGAAAGGCTGGCAGGGAATCTGAGAAGTTCTTGGCACGAGAATAACGTGTGAAGGTCCAGGAGAGGTGCCAACAGAGAGCGTGGCCAGAAGAACCAAAAACCCAAAGAAGCTTTCTGCAGCCCCAGTTCAAAGAGGGATCCAAGCAAGCAGGGGGGATGAGACTGAGACAGAGGGAAGGGGGCATGGCACAACCTTTAAAAGAATGACAGGGCCACTGAGAATACAACATAAACTGGTTAGAACCAATTAGGCCCACGATGGCAGAAGATTTGACTTCCAGTGGACCTTGAGCCACATTGTATGCTCATTACATTAGCGTATGATAAATGATACACCCACAGGCACCATGACAGTTCCAAGGCCAAACATAAAAGGCCAAAAAGTGGGTGGTGGCCCAATTCCTGGAAAACCCTGTCCCTTTCCCCCGAAATCATTGGAATAATCCTCTCACTTATTAGCCTATGAAATTACGCAGCCCACAAAAACTAACCACCCCATATTTTGGGGCCTGTCGCCTTCTGAGGTGGCCCACACTCTGTCTATGGAGTGTGTATCTCCCTAAATAAACCAGCTTTCCCACTTAGTTCTCAGGGCAGAACTACCTGCTTGTATCCCTCCCAGGCATCCTATGTGAATAAATCTACTTCTTGCCTATCACTCTGCCTCTTGCTGAATTCCTTCTGCGCTGAGACATAAAGAACCCGAGCTTCAGTAAGTCCTGACACCAGGTGAGTGATTCTAACTAAAAGACAGTAGGTTTGAGTCCCAGCCCATGGATTCAAGTCCCAATCTGAGTTTTGGCTGGATTCGAATCCCATCTAAGGTGCGATTGGGTTCGTGTCCCAATCTGAGACCAGGTGTGTAGTTTCAGGAGCCTCAAGGGAAGAAGGAATAGAGGGTTGTTTGTTAGTGGGAGGGATTTGCTTAAACACTGATGGGGAGAGGAAGGACAGTTGAGGCTACCGGAGGGGGCCGGGGGTGGGGGAGAATGAATGGCCATCCCACCACTAACTGCCCATGGCACCTTGGACCACTTCCTCATCTACAGAGTGGAAGTAATACAGTAAGAAGATAGGGCTAGGGAGTCCCCAGAGAAAGAGAACCAGGCATGGCTTTCTTGACATAAGAGAACCCATTTTGGCCTAAGCCATTTGGTGATCTAAGCCTGGCCACGATTCTTGCCCTTGAACAGGTCCCAGTCATCAATGATCTTAAGGGGACAAAAGAAGACAGGAACAGAGAAAAGACAGTCAAACAATAGTGCAGTGATAAAGCGGAGTCCTAGTGCCTCCTCAAGGGCTATACATCACAATCTGATACAGTGCTTGAGTTCTGCAGGAACTAAGGACCCCACCCAGGTGGAGGATGGAATGATGAGGTTGACCCTCCTGACTTCAGTCAACTAAGGCTTGGACTCTGTCGACCTTGGGCCCAATTCTATGCTGAATTCTCCTCTGCTCAAGCCCCTTCATGAATATGCATGTACCTTTAGCTTAAAACCTCCCCAATTTTGCTGTTGGGGAGGCACTGCTTTGGGAAAGAACCCTGATATTCCCCTTACTTGCTGCAAGTAATAATAAATCCTTCCTTCTCCTGATCTTTGGCTTGGTTGTGTCTATTGGCTCAACACCCACCAAGAGGCAAACCCAGTTTTTGGGTATCAGTAATAAGATCTGCCTTGTGGGGTTGACATGAAGAACAGAAAAGAAAATGTGCATACATGTTCAGTGCACAGCGATAGGCTTTCAATAAATGTTTCTCCAGTTATCATCATGTTCCCTCCCAACCAACTTCCAAAAGGAGTAAGTCTGGGGGTGTGGGACCCCGAGGCCTGCAAGGTTTCCCAGCTTTGCAGGCAGCCCTGGTGATCTGGGAGCACCTTGAATAATTACTTTCTTCTGCTCTTCTGTGAAAACCTCAATAAATGGTGGTTTATTGGCTTTAAAAAAATCAATAGGAATGGTAGGACCATAAGTTACGATGTTCCCCAGAGCTCAGTGGGTGTACTAGAGGCAGGATTTTTATGAGGGTTTTGATTTTTTTTAGCTTGTTGGAGCAGTGAGTGACTGCTGTCTAATTGGTCTGAGGTCAGGCCTTCCAGACACACGTTTTCCACCAGGAAGGGAGTGTGGCGGGCCCTTTGCAGCCTGAGTTTTTATTGCAAGAGGGGGAAGAATCTGCATAGTCAGGTTAAATAGTGTCACCCTGAAACCGAGCAGGACCCCATGGGGCTCCTGGGCATGGAAGCCTTTCTGTCTCCTGTTTCTTGTTTGTAGGGAATAAACCCCAGCCTCCATGACCTTCCCTGAGTTCCAAAGGGCAGATTTGAACAGTTGCTAATCAGGGAAGGGAGGGGACGCAGAGACAGGGTAGGAGCAGTAAAGAAACAATAGTGCAGCCTTGGGGAAGGGTCCTGGTTCTGCCTCAAGGGATACACATAAAAATATCTTTGAGCTCTTTACAGAACTAAAACCCCCAATAAATGGAAGATGTTGTCATTCTTTATTCCAGAGAAGACCACCTGAGGCCAGATTAAAGGAACCAGAGAAGCTCATCAAGAGATTACCTGAGACCAAATTAAAGGAGTGCAGGCCCTGCACACACCCTAATTTTATCAGCAACCCTACCCTAAACCATTGCTGTAAAACTCCTTACCAAATTCTCCTGGGTTGTGACACAGTTTTTGAGGGCAGGAGCCCACTGCATCCCCCTTTGCCTGGCAAAGCAATAAAGCTATTCTTTTCTACTTTACCTAAAACTCTCTCTCCGAGATTTGATTCAGCACCAGTGCCTAGAGGCTGAGTTTTCAGCACCACTCCTTCCCCCAAATTCATGTCTACTTGCCATCTCAGAATGTGACCTTATTTGCAAATAGGGTCTTTGCAGAAGTTGTTACGGTAAGAATCAAGATCTGTCATCCCAGATTTAGGGTGAGCCCTAAATCCAATGACTGGTGTCCTTATAAAAAGAGAGGACCAGAGACACAGACAGAGGAGACCACGTGAAGATGGAGGTAGAGATTGGTGCAATAACAGATTGCCAGGGGCTGCCAGGAGCTGGAAGAGGCAAGGAAGCATTCTTCCCTAGAGCCTTCAGGGGGAACACTGCCCTGAGGACACTGACTTCTAGCCTCCAGAACTGTGAGAGGATCAATTTCTGTTGTTTAAAGTACACTGGTTGAGGGAATATGTTATGGAAGCCCTAGGAAGCTCATGCAGCCTGGCTTCATGCTTGGTGTAGGGCGGTGCCCTCTGAGGCCAGATGGTGGCCCTGGCAGTGGCCTGAGGGAGCCTCTTCAGCTTCCTAATGGCAGGAAGTGTTGTGTGGGCCAAAGCTTGGACTGAAGCAGAAGCACATCAGTGACAGAGCGGGAGGGGCTGATGGTGCACTGCCCACCAGGAGGGGCCATCAAACTCAGAGGTATTTTGTGTCAACTCCAAAGCTGCTGTGACTAGAGAGACCTTCAGGTTAACTTTTGATTTACAAATTTTTTTTTAAAATGTGACCCATTTAAATTAGAACCTTACTTCTAGGAGTTTGTCTTAAGGAAAAATCAGAAATTCAGATGAAGCTTTGTCCCCCCCAGACGTTTATCCTGACATAGCTTATAATACTGAAAAACCAGAAACAGCTTAATTGTCCAACACTGAGGGACTGGTTAGATAAATTACGGTATATCCACAAGATGGATTACTAGGCAGCCATTGTAAATATTAATGAAGAGTGTTTAATGTTTACAAAGAGCTTTTAATGATGTGGCAGAATGATAGTGATACTATGATAAGTGGAAAAAGAAAACTGTTATAGAATGGTACAATAGGATGCCAATCATGAAAAAAAAAATCATGCAAAAAGACAGAGAGGAAATATGCCAAAATGTCAGAGTGGCTGGAGGAATGATGGGAGTTAAAAAAACAAAAACACTTCTTTATACTTTCTGTACTTTTTAAATGATTAACTATGTACACGGGTTACTTCTATAGTCAAGAAAAAAGTAAAAACTTTAAAAATGCTGTGTACGTGGTTTCCATTTTTATTTTCTCTGATGGATGATTGCACATCAGCAAATCTTGAGTTATGCTAACTACTTAGGCCGGTCACGACACACACACACGTACAGAGAGGTCACATGGGCTGTGCCGGGCTGGCTGTAGCAAATGTACATCAAGTTACACAGGTGGAATTGTTAGGCTGGTTAAAATACACCACCGAATGATGGGACACGGTTGGGTCAGGCCGCCTCTCCTGCCTGCCATTGTTGTTTGCGGAGGTCTGTGTGTTAGGCTGGTGAGTGGCGTCCTGCTGGCACTCCGTCCATCCGGTGGCCCCCGTGGGTGGAGAGTGCCTGGGTCAGCATCTGCTCTGGGTCCCTTCTCATCTGCCCTTGCCTCGTGTTGGAGCTCCCAGCTCTCTGCTACCTCTCCCAAGTACTAGGTGTGCTCCAGCCGGGGCCCCATCCCCACTCTGCTCCACACACCTGGGACAGACGTTGCAAGGGAAGGAAGAGCCAAGATCGAACGGACACACTCCTGATACAAGCCGTGCCCAGACACAGGAGGGGAGGAAGCGGGAGACGTGACCACAACACCACACACAAGCTCAGTCTTTACAGATGGGCCCTCTGTGTCTCTAGACACATGGGCTGTGTGGAGCCCTCCAGGGCACAGCCCCTGGGAGAGGACAGATCGGGGGTGGAGCCGTTTGGGGCAGCCTGACAGCAGAACTAGGAGCATGGATGGGGGATGTGTCCAACATGGTGCCAGACTGTTGAAAAGTCACGACTATACACACCTGGGGATCATGCCCCCTCCCAGTTCATTCCCACAGTGGGTTAGATACAGCTAGAGAGAAGTGGAGATATACTTTTTCGAGGGAGGACCTTTCCTGGTGGTTGGATAAACAGTGAGACAGACTCCTGGGTTCGGCATGCTCTGGGGAGGGCCATGCGACGGTGAGGGACTCCCTATTGCTACACTCTGTACAGGGCGGCCGGGCCCGCCCGCCGCACCCACGGCCCCTGATGGCAGTCATGGGCTTGCCTTCAATCCCTTCCGCCTTGGAGAGCTCTTGGGCCCCGGTGAAATGGGGGCTATGAAGACAAGAGGGTGGGAGGGGGTTCCCTGTGGCCCCGGGGGCACCTCATGTGGGGGCTACATGATATTGCACTGGGTGGCCCCGCAGCAATCCTTGATGAGCGCCAGCCCCGTCTTGGCTACCGTGGGCTTGCTAGGTGGGGGCTCTGCTTTCTTTTCTGCTCGGGAGCCTGCAGCAAGGTAGGAGAGCAGAGGCAGAGAGGGGAAACAGGAGAGAGAGAGAGGTAAGGTGAGGAGAGCCCTGATCATCTGCAGCCCCAGTTCCATCCCAACCCTTGCCAGGCCTTGCTTCAATGTCACAGATCAGGTGGTGTGGAGAGCTGGCATGCATTTTATATGGTCCTGGTGACTGTTCCCACCTCCCTGTGGGTCCACTGGCTTTCAGTCCTTGGCTCACAACTATAGCTTTTAGCCCTTCTCCTATTCTGTTCTCCTCACCATTGTATCTGCCAACCCCAGCAGAGTCTGGCATTCAAGAAGTATTTGGTGAGTGGATGACAGAAATTTTGTTTAAGTCACTTTAATCTGAGGGCTCATATCTTTCAATTCTGGAAAATACACATTATCTCTTCAGATACCCTCACCTGTCATTCTCTGTTCTCTCTCCTTTTGGAATGTCTATTAAATGTAAGTTGGACCTTACTATTCTAACCTCCATGTTTCATAACTTCTTTTTCATATTTCCTATCTCTTTGTCTCTTGGTGCTGCATTCTGGGTAATTTCCTCAGCTCTGTCTTCCAGTTATATGAATCCTCCCTTCAGCTATGTCTCTGTGTTTAACCCACTGAGTTTTTACTTCAGTGACAATAATTTTTTTTAGAAGGCTAATTGTTTGCTAATCTACCTATTCTTTTTTCATAGCATCTTGCTATTTCATTTTGGGTATTATTCCTTCTCATATCTCTTATACTTTAGATAGTCTGTTAGTTCTGGTTCATGGGAGGACAGACATCCTCTTTGTTGCACCTACTGACTCCTCTCATGGTGGTTCAATTCTTCATTGGTTTTAAAATTTTTATTGAGAGATCATCTTCATGGGGGTTGTTTTTAATGTGTGGGCTGTGTATTATGAGAGCTGAAGGGACTCTACTGAGCAATTTTGCATTTGCTTTGCTGGGGTCCCAGAGACTTCACTGGTTTTGGATTAATTTTAATGTTTCAACTTGGGATTCCAGCACCAGATGGGTGGTGTATATTTGGACCCCACACTGGGCCTCTTGCATGTGGTGCAGGCTTGGTGTTTTGATTTCTTGCCAGAATTCTTTTTTCTATCCATAATCTTACATAGAAGGGTTTCCTTGCTCCTTCTCCACAGTGTTCGGTGGAGTTTTTCTAGTTTACCTTTCATGGAAGAGACAGTCCATTGAGGATGCTGGATTTAGACAGGGACCATGTGGCTTATGATTTTAGGGGCCTGCAGAAGGGACCAGGGCCCTTCTCTTTCTTTATTCCTTCACACTGTACTACAGTGTTTTCATGGGATGTTAATGGATGGTCAGGGAAAACTGGGTTTGCTGCTTCAGTTGATAGTGGCAGCTTTTGGGTCGTGTTTTCCTAGCAAGATTTTGTCCCTTTTCTTCTGATAACAGCTCATGTCTCTGTGGCTACAGGAGTGGGCATGTGATACAGATCTAGCCAATCACAACTTCTGAGCCTCTTGGTGAGAGTGATGGGCCTAGGAAGTGGGAACACGATCCAAGAAAGGCCAATCAGAATCTTATATATTTAGACACCAGGAGAGAATCACTGGTGTTGCCTTGCTGCTACTAAGTTATGGTTCTAGAGTTCTGGCCCCAGGGAGAAGGCCTGTGTAGTAGGAGAAAATGAAGCTAACATGCAAAGAGGTGTAAAGATGATAAATAGAAGGAAAGCAAGGGTTCTAACAGTGTCCAGTCCCTGAAGCCCTGGTTCCCATTGCTCTTTTTCCAGCACATCCTCTTTTTTGCTAGGGCCAGTTTGAATTGGGCATCCATTTCTTATAACTCAAAGTGTGGTCTCATTGGGCCAACAAAGAGAAGGTAGTTCCTAGACAGCAGGACCCATTATCACTTTAATATGCTAATGGACATTGGAAGCCTACAAAGAGAGGGTCAAATACACAGCATCTCCCAAACTTATTTCACACAGAACCCTTTTCGCTCTGAGTATCTCGTGAGGCTAATACTCTGAGAAGTAAACTTCTGGCTCCATTCCTCCAGCGACTCCAGCTCCAACAGAGGCCAGAGCTCCATGGCCCTCAGTCCTCACCTTCTTGCCTCAGTGGCCACCCAACTCCTTCAATGAAGTGCACCACACCATATGATTAGAGAGTGACAGCTGCTGCCAGAATTAGCTGCATAGTTTGCAGAACCCAGCGCAAAATGAAAATGCAGGGCCCCCTGTTCGAAAATTCTTAAGAATTCCAAGACAGCAATAGCAGGGCACTAAAGCAAGCATAGTGCCCTTCTAGGCCCTGGGAAACTGCACAGGTTTCTCACCCATGAAGCTGGCCCTGCCTGCTGCCTTCCTGGGCTCAAGTTTGATCTGTAGAAATCATTTTGTTGTGCCCCCCCTCGGCTTCAAGATCTCTTTTAAATTTCCTTTTCTCTTGGATGGGGGGAGGAGAAGGAATAACGTATGCACTCACTGGCTGGAGATTTGGTTACTTTGTCTAGAGGTTTTAACTTGATTCTCAGAAAATCGGCCATTTCCTTGTCTTCTTCTTGCTCCCTGTGTAGACAGATGTGTAAAGACAAGAAGAAAGTACAGTAAGCTAAGAGAGCATCAAGGAACTGATGAAATGAGGCAAGAGTGTGGGATCATGTATCAGACTTTGTAGATGGTGCATGTGTATTGCTGTGTGTTATGTGTGGCGGTGCATGTATGTTGATGTGTGGGTGGTACATGTGTGTTGTGTGTTATATGTGGGTGGTACATGTGTGTTGTGTGTGTGTGGTGTGCATATGTTGTTATGTGTGTATAGTGTGTGTGTGTTTTGTTTGATGAATCTACTCTGAAGCAGAGACACATATCAATGATGGAGTAAATGGCTACTCCCACTAGTGTGAGACCCCAGGGGAGAGGCAGGTATGTTACAGGACCCAGCCTCCCTGATGGAGGTTTAGTGAGCTGGGCAGCCCCTCTCCTGACCCTGCACTTTTATGTTACCCTAGACAAGGTACGAGGCAGGTCTCAGAGGGCAAGTCACCTCAGCTCTTCCAAGGGTCACCAGGAGCAAAGTCAACAATCCAAGCCTGGTTGAGTTGGGCAAGGCGCATCCTAGGGGCCTCAGAGGACTCAGGAGGACACAGAGAATTAAAAGGAAGTTGCCCTCTGGTTTGGAAAAGGCCCTCGGAGCCTCTCCCCTGTGGACAACTCCAAAGGCCTTCCTCCAGCACAAAAACATTCAAGAATCAATATTCACATCTTTCCCGTGCCCTGGCTCCCTGGGGAGCCTTCAGGTGCACCATGGCTCCAGGGCCCATGGTTGTCCAGATCCAGGTGGCAGGTGCATCTGCAAATAGGAGACCCTGAAGGCTAGGAAGGGGCATCAGAGCCATCTAGGAGAGGGAAAGGGAAAGAACAAAGCTGGGAAGTGGGCAGGCAAGGAAGCAAGTTAGTACAGGGGGCAGAGTTTCTGTAGAAACCAATGGAAGTTTCTGGAAAAGTTGCCTTGATGAGCTGGGAGAAAGCTCAGTGAAAAGAATGTGCAGGAAGCTCTGCCGTGTGTTATGTGATGTAATTCCTCCCTGGTTACCTCCTCAAATAACATTCACTTAAGATCCACAGGCCTTTGCAAAACATTTTGGAGCTGGATTTGAGTTTCTCTTGAATGTGAAGTGGGTCCTCAGGCCAGAAGGCCAGGATTCATCTGGATCCAGTGTTTGGGGAGCGTTTGCCCAGGCCATGCCTGTTGCAAAGCTGTGAGTCCTGGGAGCAGGTGACGGGTTTTGGAAGGCAACTGAGTTGTGTTCTAACAGCCCCAGCCCTCTGCTCAGGGGACATACTGCCCACTTACCTTAGCCGCTCAACCTCTGCATCGTCCACCAGGAAGTCTCTCTTCTGCACCAGTTTGTGGATCTTCTGGATTAGCTCGTCCTCTCTCTGCTTCTGCAACTTGGTTTTTTCTTTTTCTGGGAAGAATACAACATTAGCAAAGACAGTTTGAGTGTAGCTGTTGAAAGCAGTTGAGTCCGAGGGGTCAGGGTTGGAATCCTGGCTCTACCATTTAACTTGCTGGATGAACTTGGAGAAGCAACTTGACCTCTTCAAGTTTCTGTTTCCTCCTCTGTAAAATACACAGTGAGGCTTGAATGCGAGACTGTGGTGTTAGTAAATGACTTTGCATAGAGCTGGCCCGTGGTGTGTGCCCGGTAAATGACGCTGCTGCTGCAAGGGGGTCGTGCAGAAGGCCGGGGGCAGGAGGGAATTACTCTATAGCGAGGCTCAACCAATCTGTCAGAAGGAAAGCGCCCACGCTTTCCCATCCTGTTCCAAATACCAAGGGCTAGAGCGCCATAGAGGAAACAAAAGAACGAGGGCTGGACACGAGGACTGAGAAAACTAGGAGGGCAGAAACTTTTTCAGAAGATAAAAATCATGGGGCAGCTTGTCCATCTGCCTGCTGGAACTGGCACTGACCATTTCCTCTAGACCTGGGGGCAGAACCAGAGGCAAGGAGAATATAATATTTGGATTAGAGAGAAAATCGGTTTCTTTCATTAATCAGAAGGGGAGTGAGGAAGTGGAGTGGAATTGCTAGCAGCCCCTGGGTTCCTGCTCATCACTGCGTTGACTATGGCAGCATCATTCCTCTCGAGGTGGGTCCCGAAGTCTGATTCTGCAAGTCACTCGTCGGTACCACAGAGCCTCCCTGCCCTCTGCAGGCGAGTTAACCACAGCGCCCTTGGACTTGGGGAGTGATGTCACCGTTCTCTCCAAGTTACCAGCGACAGCCCTCCAATATTCCCCTGTCCTCCGCCAGGCCCCAGATCTAAGCCAGAGTCACATAGCAACTGGCAGGGCCCCCAGGAACTCACAAACCTCCCTGCCCAAGTTATTCATCCCCGTTTTCTATCTCTTGCCAGTTCAGGCATCCCCCAGCCTCCCCAGATACTCAGCTGCAGCCCTCTGCTCATGCAGCCCCTCCCAGCAACTCACGGGAGAAGCCACCTTCTCAAAGGGGTCTGTGCTAGCTTACAAACCAGTTACTGACCTAAGTCTCCACACCACCAGCCAATGCTGTTCACCTGCTTTTGCGTGTAACATACCCTTTCTGCCAGCATCTCTCACCTGCCTCCAGGTACCACCCGTCTCCAGGTACTACCTACCTACCTTAAGCCCCACCTATCTACCTGCAGGCCCCACCCACCTAGCTGTAGGCATCACCCACTTACCTGCAGGTATCACATACCTGCCTGCAAGCATCACTCACCTGCTTCCAGGCACCACCCATCTATCTAGGGACACACTTTTTTTGGCCATCATCACCCACCTACTTGCCAACTTTATCCCCTGCTGGCATCACACACCTGATTCCTAGCATCTTCACGTGCTTGCCGATGTGACCCTCCAACTTGCTTCTCATCTATCTCCTCCAGCACATCTCCTTAGCCCAGGCCACCATCAGCTCTCCCTGGACCATGCCATGACCTCCTAACTGGTTTCCCTGGCCTGTAGACCCTATCACAACTGTGAGCCCTTGGCATAGAATCAGACAGTCGTGGCTTAATGCCCCAGCTCCTCCCCTTCCTAGCTGTGTGACTCTGGGCACATTCCTCAACCTCTCTGAGCATCCAGTTTCTCAACACAGATAATCATAAAGTTGTTGCAAGTTTTAAGAGAGAGAAATCAAGTAAAACCCTAGGCTCACAGCCTGGTGGATAGTAAGAGTTCATGAACAGTCAGCTGCTACTATTATAGGCTATGATTTTATACAGTCACTGTTGCTTTAATGATTAAGTGCCCTCTAGGTTAAATATTTACCAAACGAGGTACAAAAGAAATAAACACTTATTTAATGAAGGGAAAGCAAGTCGCATAGCGTAAGTGTGCAAAATGTAAGTGCTTAATAAATTGTAGCAATTATCTTTGTATTTGTATTACCGTGAGCTTTACATTTTTATTTAATCTGGTTTCTCAGCCTTGGTGCTATTGATATTTGAGCCTGGATCATTCTCTGTCATGGGGGCTGTCCTGTGCACTGTAGGATGTTGAGCATCATCCCTGGCCTTTACCCACTAGATGCTGGTAGCAGCCCCCTCTCTTAGTTGTGACAACCAAGCCTGTCTCCAGACATGGCCCATGTCTCCTGGGAGGCCCAACTCACCCCTGCTTGAGAACTGCTATTAATTCTTTCCAACAACCCTATGAGGGAGACACTATTTTTATGTCCAAGGGAAGGGTATCATGGCCTCTACAGCCAGGTCTAAGCAACCCCAGCCCTAAGGGGACCGTGGTGGCAGTGAAGGTGAGGTGAGGCATCTTGGCTTGTTCTTGAGAAGCCCTGAAGGCGGGGAGGGCTCCAGGTGTCCTCTCTCATCACAGTCTGGTAAATTATTTTCTGACCCTGGCTGGAGAAACATGATTTTCTTGGCCATTCAGTGTTCTCTTTACTCAATATTTTTATTGATAAATTGCCAGGAGCATCATTTTTTTTCCCCCTAAACTCAGCTAAACCCATCTAGAAACCTGGCACTGGCCCAAGGAATGCACAGAAAGGCTCTTAACAAGGAGTCAGAGGAGAAGGTGGGGAGAGGTGAGCAGGAAAGGCAGGAGAGGAAAGGGAACTTTAATATCTGAATTTCTGCACAGAAGTGATTGGGAAGATGCAGTTTTCCAGCAGAATCAATGGAGCTGCCGTTGAGGACCTGGGCTCTGTTGCTAAGTGGCCCTATGACCTTGTATGTTTCCCAGCAGGACAGTTGATGGCATTTCAGGTAGAACTTGTTCTTCAGGGGGCCTGTCCCCTCCATGCAGGGTTAGCGTTCCTGGCTTCCGCCCATTGAGTGTCAGTACCGATCTCATCTTTTTTTTTTTTTTTTTTTGCAGTATGTGGGCCTCTCGCTGTTGTGGCCTCTCCTGTTGCAGAGCACAGGCTCCGGACACACAGGCTCAGCGGCCATGGCTCACGGGCGCAGCCGCTCCACGGCATGTGGGATCTTCCCGGACCGGGGCACGAACCGGTGTCTCCTACATCGGCAGGCAGACTCTCAACCACTGCGCCACCAGTGAAGCCCCCGACCTCATCTTTATTTAAACTTTTGGTATATATTTTTGCATGAATTTTGGTATTTTAAATATTGCATGAAAATATGATTACTGAATTTTTCATGTTCCAGCTGAGCGCCTTGTTCTCCTACCCTAGTCCCAGTCCTGGTCAGTCATGCAGCCCAGACACTGTGTCAGCCAAAGACCCCCACCCCCAGCCATTTCCCACCCATTTCCTACCCATGCTCTAGAGGCTGCCACGGCCCCCCGTGGAGCCCCTGTGGCCTGAGGAGGCCTTGGCTGGCCTGGTGGCCACACACTCGTGTCTCCTTTCTCAGTGGCACCCAAGTGTCCTGCTGAGCCAACAGTGGGCTCTGGGAATCCTTCCTCTCAAGAGGGAGACGTCAGTCTATGTTGGGCCCATCACTGTCCCCTGGGAAGTTGAAAATTGGGACACAGAGGCCTGAGAGTTGGGCTCTTGTGTGGGAAAATCATGGAAGGGAGATGAGGTTGTAAGCGAGCTGCACCCTGTGGGGCCTTCCTGGGACAGACCCCTCCCCCACATCCTCTGCTGTAGCTCTTCTCTGAAGTCCCTAGATAACAGTATCTGATGCACACTTCCTGAGTTGTTTAACAGATGCTAAAACCCCCACCAAATGGAAGATGTTAACTACTTGATGAGCACATAGCCCCCAGGCCTCCTGGAACCTGAGGATTCATAATGTTAACACACACACACACACACCCGTGTGACACCGCCCTGTTGCCTCACCATCCACCAGTCGGAGAATTGTGCATGAGCTGATCACGTACTCTGGGATGCCTCTCCCTCACCTGGCCTTTAAAAATGCTTTGCTGAAACCCATGGAGGAGTTTGGGCGTTTTGAGCACTAGCTGTCCTGGGCTCCTTGTTTGGCCCTGCTATAAACACTGCACTTTCCTTCACCATGACCCAGTGTCAGTACATTGGCTTTACAGCCTGCGGGCAAGCAGACCCAAGTTGGGTTTGATAAAAAAGTGGCCTTGCTTGGCTCATGTGCTATAGAGAGAGAAAACAGAACATGCTCCAAAATGGAGAGTAAGAGACAGAGAGAGAAAGAGAGAGAGAGAAAGAGAGAGCAAGGGCCAAAGAACATTCCACAGCTTTCCTGTTTTTGGTTCTCGACCTTTGTGAGTTGGGCTGAGCTTCCTGCCTGTTTGAGAGTAAATAGTACGTCCTTGCCACCCCTAATTTCATTTGGAAATACGCTATTTGGGAATAGGGTCTTTGTGGATGCCATCAGTTAAGATGAGGTCATACTCATTGGGTCAGCCCTTAATCCAATGACTGGTGTCCTTATAAGAAGAGGAGATGACACACAGAGAAACACAAAGAGAGGAAGGCCACACAAAGACAGAGGCAGAGACTGGAATAAGGCAGCTACAAGCCAAGGAACAAGGACTGATGGGAACCACCAGAAGCTGGAAGAGGCAAAGAGGGATTCTCTGTTCCAGCCTTTGGAGGGAGCATGGTCCTGCTGACACTTTGATTTTGGACTTTTGGCTTCTCTCAAAGAATAAAGTTCTGTTGTTTTAAGACACTAAGTTTGTGGGAACTTGTCAGGGCAGCCCTAGCAAACTAATACGATAATGCCTGCAGGCTCCAGGAGTCTCGGCAGTCCTTCAGTAACTGCCCCTTTTGTGTTTACATAAGCTTCAATGGGTTTTTGTATCTTTCAACTAAATGATCCCTCAGAGGAGTATAAAATGAGAGACTTGACCCAGTGGCTCTCAGCCCTGACTGCCCATCACAACCGTGTGAGAAGCTTGTAAACATGACCAATGCCAGGGCCCCACGCTAATCAAATGGAAGTTTCTAGTGGGTAGTGTCTGGACTTGGCTATTTCTCCCCCTCCTCATTCTATTTTTTTCTGGCCACATGGCAGGGCTTGCAGCATCTTAGTTCCCTGACCAGGGATTGAACCTGGGGCCATGGCAGTGAAAGCTCTGAGTCCTGACCACTGAGTAGAAATGTGTTCAGTTAATGATAATAATAATAGTAATAATAATAATAGTAATAATAATAATGGCACTTATTTATTATGCACTCACTATAAGATGGGAACTGTGTTAAGTACTTTACATGTGTCACCCCTCGGTCAGTCTCACAACAATCCTTTGAGGTAGATAGCATGATTGTCCCAGTTTACAGACGAAGAAACCGAGTTATAGTGAAGTAACTTGCCCAAGGTCACATCATTAATAAATGACAGATCTAGGTTTGACTCCAAAGTCAGAGCTCGTAACCACCATACTCTACCTGTTCCCAAACAGGATAATAAGAGTAATCATTGCTAATATTTACTGGACTCTTTGGACCAGCTATCAAGCTAAGCACGTGGCTTGTGTTGTTTCATTTATTGCAGTAAGATTTACACCCGATGAATTAGGTACTATTACTATTCCTACCCCATTTTCACAGGAAGAGAAGTTGAGTCTCAGAGAGATAATGTGACTTGCCCAAGGTCAAGGAGGTGGTCAGAATTAGGACTTGAACCCGGGTCTGCCCGATGCAGAGTTTGAACCATGTGATCAGGGAGCAAGCACTGTGTTGCAAGAATGAGGCTGCATTAGGGCCTTCCAGACGGGGGATCTGAGCAGCTGGTTCATGAGGTGGGGTCCCCCATGGTTACCTGGGATGGCGACCAAGTTCTGCAGCTCCTGCTTCAAGTCCATGATGTCGTTGCAGAGCTGGATGTCATCCATCCTGGGGAAAGAGGACAGTGCACAACAGCAGGTTACATCAACAGAACATTCTACACCCTGAGCACCACCCTGGTTTCAACAAAGAGGGCTAATGGGGGAGTTCTGTCCTCTGTAAAGCCCACACATGCTCTTTAGAAGTTTTACACCAAAAGTAAAAACAACAACAACAAACAAACTGCCCTTTATCCCATGACTTAGAAATGATCAATCACAGTTAATAACACCTTGATAGAGTTCCTTCCAGTCTTCCCATGCCTGGCTTTTGTTGGCATATGTGAGAGACTTCATGCTGTGGGTTCAGTGTTTTCCTTTTTCAGCTATGTGAAAAGCTTTTAAACATTACAGAAATTCACCGCATAGACAGAAAATCTCCCTCTATCCTTTAGAGAAAACCACTGTCAGTGGTTTGTCATCTATTCCTCCAGATTGAAAAAAAGGTTTATGCTTATACGACCAAAGATGACACCATCATTCATGCACAAAAAACGTTTTGCAATTTGCTTTTTTTAACTTAATGATATGTCTTGGGCATCTTTCCATGTCAGGATATGCACATCTCATTTTTAATGACTATATAATATTCTATTATATCGATATACAGTGATTTATTTAACCATTCCCCCCATTCATAGGTATTAGACTTATTTCCAGATATATTCTAGGATAGATTCCTAGAAATAAATCAATTTATTTATTTGCTAAGTCAATTCCCAGAAATGCAATTGGAGGATTAAGTGACATGAACATTTTAATAGGAATTTCCAAACTGTCCTTCAGAGGGACCGTGCATGACATTCCCACCAACAGTGTGAAAGGAAGCTCACCCCTATAATCTCAGCAATTGGGTTGCATATACAATTTTGTATTATGTATTTCATGTGTGTGTGTTGCAATATTAACTCATCTTACTGTAAACAACATTTGTAATGGCTGCCTGGAATTTCACCAAGTAGATTTATCAGAGCAGTTTTAATTATGCCCTTTTTTTTTTTTTTCCACACTGCACGGCTGTGGGATCTTAGTTCCCTCACCAGGGATGAAACCCTGGCCCCGGCAGTGAGAGCATCAAGTGCTACTGGACTCCCAGGGAATTCCCTATGCCTTTATCTTGATTACTTAGGTGGGCTTTTTGAGTTGTTTGTTTGTGCTATTTTAGCCGCGTTAGGATGAATATGGATTCACCTTTCCACGAAAGAAAAGGCTTTTCTTTCGTGTTGGATTATTTGGGGTGGGGGCTACTGATTTTCAGAAGTAAAACCACTGAGTACAATGGGTATGACATGTCTATGGCCATTGAGACATATTTCCAAATAGCTTCCCCATGGGGTGTGTGTGTGTCTTCATTCTGCATGTCTTTAATGAGCACTTATTACGTTCACCAATGACATAGGCTCCAGGGATGCACCAGCTCCCCTGCCCTCATGAGCTGAAATTTAATCAGGAGAGACAGAGGGTGAACACAAATACAACAGAACGTCAGATGCTCCGAAGAAGAGTGAAGCAGGTGAGGGGATGGAGTGGACCACTTTGGACACATCAACCTTCTGTCCCAGGAAGAGATGGAGGAAAGCAGGAATATTCTCAAAAGGCTCAACTGAGTCTGCACAGCAAGTAGGGGCAGGACCAGGACCAGAAATCGATTTGTCTGAATCCACTGATCTTTCTGCCTCCTTCCTTGACGTCTTCGCCAAGAACCTGATCTCCATTCAGAAATGCCATCCACAGACCAGCTTGGGGCCCCCTGCCCTGCCCGTGTGACCCCCAGCATCCCAGCTTTCAGGACGAGTGGCAGTAATGTCTCGTTTCAGCCTGCATCTCCTGCTCCTGTTGCCAGGGGCAGGCACTCCAAGCGCTTGTCAAACCCTGCCCCGGAATGTCCTAGCAGGTGGCAGCTGCCACAAATGAGCTTGGGGGCTTTGCCAGAAGGGTACATGCTGTTCCCCTGGGTTCCTATCTGCGAGCCTTCAACTGGAGGTGCTCCAGAATCCTTTTCCACATCTAGCGTGGAGATGAGGCTCCATCAGTGGTTCTTAAGGAGGATGATTTTGGCCCCTGGGGGCATCTGGCAACATCTGGAGACATATTTGTTGTTACTGCTGGGTATGTGGGGGGATTGCTACTGGCATCTAGTGGGTAGAGTCCAGGGATGTTCCAAAGCATCCTACAATGCACAGGGCAGCCCGCCTCAGTAGAGAACTACCTGGTTCAAAATGCCAATCATGATGAAGTTGAGAAATCTTGGGTTATAACCACAGAATTGACACGGGTACCTGATAGATACTTTTTGAAAGATGAGAGAAGGAAAGATGATGAAAGAACAAAAGAGCAACAGGTAAAGTTAGAAGCAAGAGTATTGGCACCAAACATCTCTAGTTCAAAGGGGCCATGTGCCAGAAATTCTTCTCTGAGTCTAACTTTCCTCATCTTTGAAATAGGAATTATAATAGTACAGCTTTCTAGGATTATTATGCATGTCAGGCACTGAGCACGTGTCTGGGACATACACAGTACGAGGCTCAGTAAATCATATCTGTTGCTATTATTAGCCGTTAGAAGGAGGCAGGGGGAAAAGAAAGAGAAAATGATGCTGGATAAGCAGGGTATTTGACAAACAGAGCTAACGTTCAACCTTAAAACAACTTTTAAAAATTATATTCCTCTCTATAAAATTTTTTAAATAAAATTTTTAAAATAGAATTCTTATCTGATTGCAGAACAGATTCCTGATCATTGTAGAAATTTTGGAAAATACAAACAAGTACGAAGAAGGAACCTAAGATTACACATAACCTTGATCCACGTGCACCAGAGGCCACTGTTCCACTCGGAGTGTTCGGGTGAATTTCACGCCAGTCTTCTTCCTACATGTAACCCAGGTGTGGCGGGCTTGCCCTGGGGGGCCTTCACCCTTTGTCCATCTCGAAACTGCACTTAGCATGTTCTGAGTCCTCCCAAGCACATCCACATTCACCCCACATTAACGAGCAAGGTGAAATTCTTGTGACGCTCTCACAGACAGGCATGCGTCAGAACCCCATGAAGATTCCTAGTAGATAGCACTGTGTTTTCCTCAGATTTTTCTCTTGTCGCCAGCTTTCCATCTCTTCTCTTTCTCTCTCTTCCTCTTCCACACACCTCGTGGTCCTCGGACCTGTCACCTACAGATTGGCACTTGCCATCTACCTCTACAAGGATTAAATTATGAGCCACTGCAGCTGCTGACCTTCGACACCCCCTGAAAGTTCAGGGTAGAGGTCAGAAATGAAGCACTCTGTGCTCTGGGAAAAACTGGCAGAACAGGTCTTCAGATAGTTGGATATTTTCAGGAGATGGTTTTATGAGCCCAATCTTGCATCTCCTCGCATCTAGAAAAGCACTAAAATCCTCATGGTGACGTCTGCTCCTCGTGACTAGCAGTAACTTTCACGAGACTAGCAGAAACCTTCTGCAAAAAATATGTGCTTGACTGCATGTACACTCCCCCTTCACCAAAATCACATATATACTGACCTTCCCCCCTACCTCTTTGGAGCAGTTTCTCAGAGCTATCCGAGATGCTGTCTCCTGGGCTATAGTCTTCATTTTGCCCCCAATAAATCTTAACTCACAACTCTCACGTTGTGCATTTTTAGGTTTGTTTCAGTGGACAGATCCCAAGCAATTCACCTCTGGTCTTCAACTTACAAACCCCAGTTGGCAAAACCAAAGCCTGGTGGTTCCCTGAACATCCCCAGGAAAGGAGCTTGCTTCCCCCAACCTCCACCCAATCTGTCTATCAGGGAATTTACCTAAACAAAAATCAGGCTGGAAGAGGGAGGGACGGGCTCCACCATTAAGGGAAACAAAAAGTCAACGTTTATTGAGCATTTGCTTTCTGTGCATAAACTCATCTAAGTCCTCATGGCAGTCCTGAGAGAGGTGTTGTTTTTATCTCCATTTTTACGGACAAGGAAATGGAAGTTAAGCGATGTGACCAAAGTACCACCCTGGTATGTGGCCACTGGGATTCGGCCCAAGCTCGCGGGAGCTCTTGACCACTTTACCATGGTCTCTCCTCTCCAAGTGGCTGCAGGAGTTGAGGCTGACATTGAACTGACCTTCGTTCTGCCCCTTCCTCCCATAGCCCTGATCTATTTAGGAGGCAATGTCTCCAGCTCCTTTCGGCGAGACAGGCTGGGACCTGAGACCTGGACCCTTTGCTGCAATGCTTGCACCTGGACACACGTCTCCACAAGCAACAGATACAAAGAAACTAGAAGGGACTAAAAATAACTGCACGCACAAGCATGCCTGTGCAGTAGCAGTCGAGGCAATTATGAACAATAAGATACAAAAAGGCCACAAACCAACTGCCATTTCTCCATTTCTTCCATTTCTCCAACTGCCATTTCTCTTTTGTGGAGAGCAAAAGTAGGGCACTGTGCATGATTCCCTGCACACTGCGCCACCAAGGGGGTGGGCAGATCACCTAAGCCACCCCTCCAGCCCAACCCACCAATCTGCCCCCACCCTCACCCTATTTAAAGAACCAGCTTGCCAGCCCTTGGAGAGCAAGCACGGGCACCTGTTTCTTGTTTTCTTTCCCTCATGCTGCACGAGTTCCAATAAAGCCCTGCCTGAATTCCTCATCTGGCCGCTTATCAATTTCTATTGATTACAGGAGTACAAGGACCCAGGTCGGTAACAACAGAAGCCAGTTGTCTTAGTCTGTTCAGGCTACTATATAACAAAAATACCATGGACTGGGTGGCTTAAACAACAAACATTGATTTCTCACAGTTCTGAAGGACTGGGAAGTCCAAGATCAAGCTGCCAGCTGGTCCTGCTCCTGGTGAGGACTCTTCCTGATTTGCAGACAGCTTTCTTCCTATACCCTCACATGTTGGAGAAAGAGATCCTCTCTCTGGGGTCTCTTTTATAAGGGCACTAATCCCATTCATGAAAGCTCCACCCTCATGACCTTAATCACCTCCCAAAGGCTTCACCTCTAAAGACCACCAC